TTTTTTGATGGTTAACGCTACGGATTTCAGCATAGTTTTAAAAATCTCAATATTTTTAATACATCATTATTACGATTTACGAACTTTAATTACTACTTTTGACGCTTTTCGTATGTGCCGATTCCAATGACTTTTCGGTAGTTATTGCTACCCATTTTCAAGTAGTTTCTGAAATAGCGATTTTTGAAAGTTATGAAACGCTTTATTTGTGCAAACTTCATGGAAAATCTAAATGACTTTAGATCCTTTCTTCAACAGTTGTTGCTGCACATTTCCGCCCGGTTTTTAAAACTTCGATATTTTAGCACGATATTATTACGAATCGCGAGTAAAGAATCGCTCATTTATATAACCATTTTTTGACATGGCTTATTTGTAACGATTTTATCGCAAATCAAATTATTTTTCAATCTTTATTTTAGAAATTATTGCTACACATTTCTACAAGGTTTTAAAAGTACCGATATTTTTTATACGCTATTGCGTCATTTTAATTTCAAATCCCTCCTTTAAATTTCATAAAATTTTGATGGACTTTATTTACTCCAATTTCATCTGAAATATAAAAGTATTTTGGTTAGTAGTTATTACATTTTCCCCATGATTTAAAAAGATTATGATATTTTTAATACTATGGTTTGACAGCAAGCGAGTTTTGAATCGTGCATTAAAATAATTATTTTTTACGTGCTCTGTTTTGTGCCGATTTTATCATTTGCGTTGTACCGATTTTAACACGCATTTTTTAAGAAGTTTTTCGAACGTGTTTTTTCTTCTTTCCCGTTATTGCTGCATTTTTATTTGTGATTTAGAATATACCTGATATTTTCACACAATATTACAACTCGTGAAATTCGATTCAGTTTAAATTTTTTTTCGTAACTTAAAAAGTAATTACGTATCTAAGCCAAATCAACACCTTCCCAGGAAGAAAAAAAACGAGATGTGTTCAGATTAAACGCGGTCCGTTTTGCAAAAAAAAAAATAATTCAAAACACGGCATAATTCTTTAGTCCCATGAACATGTGCAAGTTTAACAACACACATCGAACCTATTCTTTTTATTGTCACATGTAATTTAAAAGTCATACATCGTAATTTGTATTTACGCTATCTGAAAATTGCGCATCGCATTTCGTATTAACAGTAACGAGATTTAAAAATAATCCATCGCGTTTCGTATTTATGGGATTTAAAATCACATATCGCGATTCGTATATATCATCCGTTGCTACTTTTCTCGCAATTCATATGCACGCGTTTTCAAATCATATATCGCGATTCATATTCATGCATTTTAAAAATCAAGTGCTGTGAGTAGTCCTTTCGCAATTTAAAAGCCACACGATTCGTATTCACGCGATTTGAAAAACAAGCATCGAGTTTTTTATTTACGCAACTTAAAAATCATACATGGCAATTCGTATTCAAGCAATTAAAAAATAACACATAGCAATTCGTATTCAAGCAATTAAAAAATAACGCATCGCTATATGTATATCTTCTATTTAAAAACCCAGAAAGGAAGAACACCATCTAGGACAAATTCCAAAACTGATTATGTTATTTGCTCTAAATTTAATACTACCCACAACAACAGCTTCTGTCGAAAGACTGTTTTCCAGAATGAATTTGGCCTGTTCAAAATTACAGAGTAGTCTTTATATACAATCATTACACTTTCATTTAATGGCTCAAAAAATGTCACATGATCAAGTAGATAAAATTATCACAATATTCAAAAATTTTGCAAATTACAGTATAACCATTAAGAAATTTTTTAAACCATTTTCTACCTTCTTGGAGCATTTTATATCATTTATGATTATATGCTGGGAAATGATTTGTATATCATTAAATTTTAACTGTATAAAAAATTTAATCAAGATAAGTTTCGAAAAGTAATGTAAATTTTATTGATTGTTAATTGATTGTGTATTAATTGTAAATAGTAAGTGTCATGTTAAAAATATATTCGTCATAAAAAGTTGTAAACAAGTATCTTAATAGTTTTTTATTATTAAGGAATATAGTTCCTTAAAATTTAATGTGTTTTCTTCTTTCTTTTTCTTTCCTCTCATAGCCTCTTATTATTAATTTAAAATAAAAATGTCTGAAAGATAAAGTACATTCCCTAATAAATGCTAAGTCTTATTTTCCACTTAAGGGGTTTAGTTTTAGTTTTAATCATTTTTAACCCTATAAACTTTCTTTAAATCAAAGTATTTAACTTGAATTTATATTAATGACTAGAATATTTATTTATTTGAAATTTAATTCTATGAAAAAAAAATTAACGTTAAAATTTATGTTTAAATGGACTTTTGTATTTTGTAATGTGATAAAAAAAATTTCAATTTTTCCATAGTTTTTTAATTATTTCAATTTATCTAAATTTTTTCCGATAAATTGATTCTGATTTTCGAATTCTGTTTTCCTTCTTAAGTAATCAGTTTTGCATTTTCTAATTTTAAACGTTTTAAAGTATTGTATTTTCTGCAAAGAGATTACAAGGTTAACCGACAAAAAGAATTTAGTGTTATATAAACAATGATGTTTATATAACAATCACCACCAACAATTGCTTTCAATATGTCGGTCTAAACACTTTGGCATGCGGCCCTTCATTGGTCAATCTGCTGTGCATGTGGCCCTTCACTGAAAAAGGTTGTGCATCCCTACTTTAGAATATTCTCCTAACCAAACTATGGGGACCATAATTCCCAGATAGCGGCTACCACCATTTTGGGAGTCAGAAATCAGAAACCATCGAGAAAAAAAAGGTATGTTTGGTCACCGAAAGTAAGTTTTTGAGTCTGATTTCGTAACTTAAAATATCGTTGGCATTAACTAATTAGCATATTCTCAAAGCATTAAGACTAAGTCCTAGAACATGAAGAATTTTTTCTTTTTTTGCACACTGCACATTGTTTAATAAAAGCGTTTTATTTTAATTTGATTGCAAATTGTGTTGTTCATTGCGGAATTAATAAAATTTAGAAATTGCTTGTATGTAAAAAGATTAAATGGCTGCAAAAATGATGAATTGTACTAAGAAGATTTGATTATTGATGTTTTTAAATGTTATTCTATCGGAGTGTTTTTAGGGTTAATTTCTCGTATCAAGTGCAAAAAAAAAAAAAAGAAAACCCGTCTTCATTCATGAAAGAGAAAGTTCAACTTATTCTTTACTTAAATTTTTTTTTTTGCTGTCATACTAAACATTCGTTTTAAATGTCATTTAACGAATGACAAAGCATTACTGCAGAAAATCAATGCAAATTGTTATTTATTACTTTTTTAATTAAGTAACTCACGTTTTGACCTTTGCTTACCTTAAAGACCTATTATATGAAAATTTCTGTTTCCGAGGCTTGCCCAAAGCCTGGACACTGAACTTTTTCCTATACTTATATATGGGTAGCTGTTAATGCATTCAACACAATATTACAATCCCTGTGATCCAAACGAAATTACACGATATGACGTGAGTGCACTATATTGTTATTACATAAAATTAGTGCAAATATTTACTTATACAGTACAGAACCCGTTATCCGGAAATCAGAAAACCGGAACGAAATTCGAAAAATTTTCCCGCCATTTCTTTAACAAAAAAGTTTTTTTCCTCATAAGATTTTGGGATTTTTCTTTCTTTTTTGAAAGATGTTTACCTTACCATCATTTTGGAAATAATCATTAGTGTATTACCTCATTGTTTTTTCTTCTTTTTAAGATTATTTCCAAATATTTTTTTTTTAGTTGGGTTTAACAATAAAAAAACGGTTTTTTGTAGCAATTCAGAAAACCGGAAAAATCAGTTATCCGGAATAGCGATGATCCCGATCGTTCCGGATAATCGGCTCCCTACTGTATTTCATAAATATTGGACTTATTTTGGCAAAAACATGCTACACTTTAAACAGAAGTATCTTTTAATATAGTAAATTAAAGTTTAAAAATCCATTCAAATTTTCTTAAATGACATACTTCAAGATTGTGTATAAACTTTAGCCAAACTTAATACTTTTTTTCTAGATTTTGTTTCATGAGAACAATGTCACAAAATTAGAGCATTTTCTTCTACCTTTAGAATTACATCCTTTTTTTTAATTATCGTAAACAAACTGCTATTCAGGATCTTGGATAATTTAGTAATTTGTGATTGATATTATTCGTTCATCCACCTACTTTCAAGATTTTAATTTCTGCTCTAAGCACATAGCGTTACACTGGTTATGAGAAGTAATTTTAGTAAAATAACATACATTAAGAGAACTGGGCGAAACAAAAATCAAGAATAATGTGAATACTACCACATGTTTTAACCCTAAATAAAACTCTTCATGTGACATTTCACAAAAAGAGCAAATACAATTTTCAAACAAGATAAAAATATGATTGTTGAATATATTGAACTCTTTGAAAAGAAATTTAGAAACGTTATGATATACTGAAAATTCTGATTTCTAAATGATGGGGCAATATCCACTTCAAATTCTCAATTACAGTAAGTAATCAATGTATTACAATTTTCTAGCCCATAGATTTTGCACAGGACCTCTTTTTTGATTTTCTTTATTTTGCTTCTTTATTTTTGGATTTGATTTTCTTTAATACAGCATGCAAATTAATGCATCTTGCTTCAAATTTAGAATTAATTTAGGTAATTTTTTCTTGTCACGTATAGAAAATAAAATTTTGGCATTCTAAATTTTGGAAGTATCAGGATTTTTGTGATAAGTGGATTTCCGGATAATACTGTGCATAATAAAGCATCTTGTAAAATTATTATGAAAGTACATCATTATTTTTACATACAAATTACTATACTTTGTATTTTGTCCCGTAATATTTTTTTAAAAAAAGGACAAGAAAAATATGTTTTATAACTAAAATTATTTTATAAGAATTAAATATTGTAGAATATATCTTACAAAAAATCAATTCTAAAAGTCTTTAATACACAATTTTAATAAACAATTCCTGAAATTACTTACATGGATTTACATCCCGATACCTGTTCAAGTTCTTATTTTCCATTTTTTTGGCATCTTTGATGATATAGGTAAAGTTATTCGATTCATTTCGAATTTCCTTAAAAAGTAATATTAACAGTACACCATTATTAAAGATAACATAAAAAAATTCTATATATTCAATAACAGAATTAATAAACAATTTGATAAAGTGAGGAATAATATAAAAACTTTAGTTTTTTTAATAACAATTATGGATAACTAAGAAAATTTATTATCAGTCAATAAACCCTACTTATGTAGATGGACATTAACATGAACATTTCAGAAAATAATATTGTTATGGATTATGGTAGCTATTATCGTTTTCGATTAGACTAAAACTACATATTGCAACAGAAGCAGTTTGAGAATATTTTCTTATCGATACCTATTCACACCAACTACAATTCTGAGGTTGACAAAGTGATCTTAAACTAGCAAAGATTTAAAAATAATATTAGAGATTTACCTAAGGGTGGCTACGAGTTATTACCTGGGGAGATTTCCCTATTGTAATCTGTGCCAGAATTATCGCCAAGTCATGTCAACTTCCGGGCGGTGGTTCACGAGAAACTAAAAAAAACACATCACAGAGAGGGACCAACTCGAAAGATATAACTTGCAGCCAACCCCCGGGCAAACATCTACATGCTTTTTTTTTTAAATTTGTAAGTTTAAAAATTTGTTTGGCACCTTGGTGATTGCAATTGGTGCAACAGATCACAATACAGAAATATCCACATAAGATAATTATAAACTGTAGCAAAAATATCAACAAGAATTTTACATATTTATAGTAAATTAACAAAAAAAAACTATAAATAATTATCTTGCAAAAGCATGCAAGCATCTATGATACAATAGTAAAAAAAAATTCTTTCACTGAACACATTCTTTATTTTCCTTTTTATACATTTCAATATTAGTCAACTTATAAAATGCATGTAAAGAACTTGTAAAAAACTGCTTTTTATTTATATCAAATAAACACGAATTCTAAAATTACCGATTATGGTATAATATTCTTCATTCAAATGAATATTAGGATATTTGATTTGTCGGTACATCTAGAGATTCGTTTTGCTTATGGCCAAGTATTATGTATTTTTAATTCTGTTTTCGGTGCCTCCTTAGACTCAACATAGAAAATCTTAATAAAAAACATAACACAAAGATATGTTTCAGATTTACAAATGCGACAATTTTTTAAGATAAATAAAAATTAACTTACAATACCTTTAAATTAAGATATAAGTAAATACAAAAATATCCGTGTAAGAATAAAAGCTTAATATTATTTTAACAACAAATGACAAACCTGAAAAATACTATTCCAGGCATTTCTCCTATCTATGTCCAAAAATTCTACCTCCATTAGGGGAGTAACTAAAGAAAATTTTAAATTTCTTACAACAGGGCCATAGAAATATAAGAGTTGGTTGTACTAATTTAACATACAAAAACTTAAGTGTAAACAACCATCATTCAAAAACCAAAAGGGAAGTCAAATAATGTAACATTGAGTTGTAGATCATAAATCTTCATTCATATAAATCCTTCAAAAACTTACTGCAGGTTACGACATACTATAGCCTCAGAAAATTCACACTGCTAATGCGAAACTGCAAATGCGTTACATTGTATGAATTTCTCCTTAATTTTGTGGACCCGAAGTGGAGTGATCGTAAAGACATCGTTCCCAGTAAATCACCGAAGTCAAGCATCACTGGCTGCTGTCAGTAAGCGAATATTAGCATTTTGTGTCCAATTCACAGGAAAGGAGATCCTAGGACCTGTGTCAACTATCGTGGCATTAGTCTTCTTTGTATAACTTATAAAATTCTATCTAGAATTTGTCCCGTAGTGGACTGATCACTAAAAAACGGTTCCCAGAAGATCACCGAAGTCAAGCATCACTGGCTGCGGTCAGTGTGCGGGTGGGAGACCACTTGGATCAGTCTGTGTAGGGACCGAGGGTGTGCGGTATGGATCCTTTTAAACTGTTCTATAATAAAGTGCTCGACTTCACATGCAGGTCGTCGGGCTACCGAAGCGGGGGTGCCACTCCCTCAGCAAAGGATCGAAATTGTTATGGCATGTCTTCAGATCATCCTCAGGGATGTTTCCCAGACCGTCACAGTGCGCCCATTGTGCAGCTCTAGTGCGATGTAAATTAACTACAACAACAACTATCTAGAATTTTATTTCTCAGGCTGTTACCTTTTATTGACTCAGGCTATTGGTATCAGGCTATTTTATAGGCTATTGGCGACGGTCTGGGAAACATCCCTGAGGATGATCCGAAGACATGCCATCACAATTTTGATCCTCTGCGGAGGGGATGGCACCCCCGCTTCGGTAGCCCAACGACCTGCACGCGAAGTTGAGCACTTTACGGTAGCACAGTTTAACGAGGACCAATACCGCACACCCTCGGTCCCTACGCAGACTGATCTAAGTGGGTCACCCACCCGACTCACAAATAGGAAAGTATCAATGTGAATTGTGGAAAATCAACTAAAGATCAAGTATTTCGTCTCCGTCAGATTTTAGAGAAATCAATGGAATTTAACATTGAAACACATATTATTTTTATTGACTTCAAGGCTGCTTTTGATAGTATCAATAGAAACTGTCTTTTTGAAACAATGAATACTTTTAAAATACCTTCAAAACTCATTAAATTGACGACACTTATATTGAAAGATACAAAGTGTAAGATTAAGTTTCTAGGTTCTGCGTCAGAAAATCTCGGCACATTTACAGGTCTTCGACAGGGAGATTCTCTCTCCTGTCTTATTTTTAACATTGCACTTGAGAGAGTTATTCGTGATTCAAACATCAATACCAGTGGTCAAATTTTTACTAAATCAGTACAACTACTTGTATATGCTGATGATGTTGATATAATTGCTCGTTCCCTTCCTGTTCTGAAAGAAGCATTTATTGCCCTTGAGGTGGCTGCGAGATAAATGGGCTTAGCCATAAACGTAGAGAAAGCAAAATATATTTTATTCTCAAGAAACAGAGTCCCAGATCCCTATCTTGAAATAAATTCGCATAGATTTGAAACAGTAAGGAGTTTTACTTACTTAGAATCATTTATTACCATTGACAACAGAATGACTCCTGAAAAAAAAACCCGACTCTATCTGGCAAATAGGGCTGTCTATGGGCCGAGAAGATTTATTAAATCTAAGTTTCTTTCTAGAGAAACAAAGTTCCTATTCTACAAAACTCTTGTCCGACCAGTCTTGACATGTGCTTCTTAAGCTTGGACAATGACGAAACTGCAGGAAAATTGCATCGTAATATTTGAGAGAAAGATTCTGCAGAGTATACTGGGTGGTGTAAAAGAAAACAATAACTGGAGAAGGAGATTCAACTTTGAACTATACAAGATTAATAAACAACCTGATATTATCAAATAGGTACATAAAAATAAATAGAATGAATTGGATGGCCCATGTGATTCGAATGAGTGATGACAATACAATAAAAAAGATACTGCTTTTTAGACCCACTGGAACAAGAAAGCGGGTAAGGCCGGGGTTGAGATGGGCTGACTCAGTGGAGTCTGATTTTCTTGCAATTAATGAAAAGAATTGGAGATCAAAGATAAATCCGAGTTCGTCATGGAGAAATCTTCAGAGGAAGACATTGGCTCACATTAGGCTGTTTGGTCAACTATGATGATGATGAAGAAGAAGAAGACAAAAAAAAGCATTTTACTTTAATTCACACATCTTTAACAGTATGCGATCACGAAATCGGAAGTTATCGGTTACAAGTTTGTTAGAAGGAGAAAATTATTGAGAAATTGTTCTTCAAATGCTGGACGCGTTCTGTATCCGAATGATTTACCAATGTTCTAGGTCATTTTTTTCAACTTCTTCTGCTTTAGCCTTAGGGAAATTTTGCTTCTTATTTGCTGCTGAAAAAAATATGTCCTACATTACCAATGATTCTGATAGAACTAAGTGAAGATTTAATAAATAAAAGCCTGAAAATAAGCTCCCCGCTAGAGGGCGTAATTAAGCATTGCGATCGCGAATAATGAACATTTTGATGGAATCCTATTACCGTCAAGAAATCTGAAAAACATTTTCGTGGTTTTCCTTTGCTTGAATCGAAAATATTGATTTGCTTTAATTAACTTAATTTTATATAAAATATGCAACTTCAATGGCTTTTACAAATATAGTTTTACTCCGATACGTAAATTGCGAGTTACTTTTATTTCTGGGTTTAGTTAAAAATTACAAAAATATCAAGAGCATCTCGTTATATTCACAAAGATGATTGGCTGTCTGTCAAAGACGCTAAAAAAATAATTCATTATAAAATAAAAATTCTTTGCGGGTACTGAGCATTTAGCTGGAATTCTTTAAACGTCAAGCAATTTGAAAGATATTTTCGTGGTTTCCCTTTACGTGTAAAGCAAAATATGACTGTTTTCTTAAAAGAAACATTCATAAAGGCAACAATGCTTCAATATTTACATAAATTATGAGCTATTTTATCTTTCTTAATTGTTAAAAGTACAAAATAGAGCATTTCATTTTTTGCAATTCTCTAGCAGGGTAGATAGTCATTCGCGTATAAAAGAAATGATTTGGCAAATTTCGATCGGGATATATATATTTAATAATTAAAATAATTTTTCGTGCGCTTGTTCCTTACATCATGACTTAAACTCTAAAAAGAGTTTAAAGGCATTTATAAAGATCGATAATTGATTGACACTCAATACTATTAAATTCATAATAAAAGCTACGAATAATTGCTTTGATGAAGAAGATTTTGATCTTTCAATCTCATAAAAAATTTAACAAATTCAGGGTTGAATTGCTGATTAAAAAAAAAGTGTAATCTAAAGCATTTTGAATTACTATGATTTTAAAACAATGATAGTAAACCAATGAAACTGAAGGGGTTTTAGTTTTGAAATCGTTCTGTTAAATGTATCCATCTCATATTTAAATGTACAAAAATGCTAAAATACGAATTTACACTTAAGTTATAACAGAACCAGACGCTTCAAATTAATAACTGTTATTGAATAAGCAAATATCCTTCCTTCGGCTGTGTTTAGCCTAAGTTCTGAAAACCGAAACTTAAGTATATAATTGCCCGTAAACTGAATGAACTCAGGTTTTAAAACTTCAATAAACAAACAAATAAATTGCAAGCGATACATTGACATTTTAAGCAATATACGAAATAATACACAGGTTTTCAGAAATAAAAACATTTTAGAATTTAAATTAAACTGCTTTTAAATGATCGACACTGATTACAAGCAATGCTTATGTACGACGGGAATGTCAGAAAATAATATACTTGTTGTGTGCCACTTTTTGTGCGTAAAACAGGTCTGTCAAAAGCGTGTTGCTTTTCACCCCCCAAGAAAAGTGAGAAGTCCTTATCTCCCATATTAGTCATTAATTCTGGCAACGGCTGGTTGATTCGAATTCTGCACCCAGTTTGCACCAACCACAGTGCTGACGTAAAATATCCTCAGTGGTAGATGGATCATGGGTTAGAGTCCTATTGCCGTCAAGCTAATCGTGGGAGGTTTTGTGGTTTTCCTTTCCAGGTAACACAAATGCTGGTTAGTTCTTTCAAAAAGTCCTCCACAAAGACAAATTTCTCCGAATTATTTGATCCAGAATTTCCCTTGTATTCCGGATTGGGTTCAAAATCTCAAGGTTACGGAGTTGAACATTGTTAGTTGTATACTCAGAATTGGGTCGGCTGCTCAACGGCGGTTATAATTATTAGGAAGGAAGGGTGGAGAGAACCGATCGGCCTGTATGCCAGTCAGAGAGCTGACCTCATGTCAGAATGGTCCCGAATTCGAATCCCGCTCCGAGCTTTGATGTAATTTCTTTCTCCTTATCTGTTTCGTCGTTAAACGTAAACCCGAAATTAGGTCGACTGTTCAACGACGGTTATAAACTATATTAGTCCCTGAGCCGTGCTGCCTCAGGGGATATAGCGTTCGCCTTCCAATGAACTGAACCGGGTTCTATTCCCAGCTATGGCTGGAATTTTACTTCCGGCTTAAACTGACCACAGTGCTGACGTAAAATATCCTCAGAGGACGACTGGTGGCTGAGCGGTAGCGCTTTGCGCTGTCGTGCCACAGGCTCCTCGTTCGATCCTCGGGCCGGGCAAGGTTGACTCAGCCTTTCATCCCTTCAGTGGGTTGATGCTTGGGAACTAAACACTGGGGGTTCTGCGTTTGGCTGACCACCTGACCGGAACATCTGCTCCTGCACCCCAGAGCCCAAAGTCAAGAAAACTGAGGTGGGTACAGTAGGCCTTGACCCTCAAGGGCTGTCGCGCCGCTAAGTTTAGTTTTTAGATGGATCATGGGTTAGAGCCCCCTTGTCGTCAGGCTAACCATGGGAGGTTTTCGTGGTCATCTTCTGCATATAA